GTCATGTCCTGCTCTCTTTGCAGATGCTGAGGAAGAGGATGGAGGGGATGGTGTCCGCAGCCTGGGTTCGTTGTCTCTTTACCAGGTCAAGAATTCCGGACTGGGTATGTGTTTCGATAGTTGAGAAACTGAAAAATAGGTATTAGCCTGCTTAATTCTGTGCTTTTTTTCTAGAGACTCTGAGATGAGCAGGTACGCAGTCCTCTGAGTGAAGAACTGGCTGAAGGGCAGAGCTCAAAGGGTTGTAGTGAATGAAGCTACATCTGGCTGGTGACTGGTCACCAGGGTGTTCCTCAGGGTTCAATTCCAGGGCCAGTTCTCTCCAATATCTTTGTCAATGATCTGGATGCAGTTGAAGACACTATTAAGAAGTTTGCTGAAAATACCAAACTGGGAGGTGCTGTTGACTCTCTTAAGGGACAAGAGGCCTTGCAGAGGGATCTAGAGAGACTGGAACATCATGCAATCATCAATGAGATGAAATTTAACAAGAACAAATGCTAGATTTCTGCACCTGGGATGGAGTAACACCGAGCACAAGTATAAGTGGGGGAGAGGAGTGGCAGGAGAGCAGCCCTGCAGAAAGGGATCTGGAGGTGTTGGTCCATAGCAGGCTCAGTGTGAGTCAGCAGTGTGCCCTGGCAGCCAGGAGAGCAAACCGCGCCCTAGGGTGCATCAAACACAGCGTAACCAGCTGGTCAAAAGAGGTGGTTATCCCGCTGTATTCAGTGTTGGTGCAGCCTCACCGTGAATACTGTGTGCAGTTTAGGGCCCCACAACTTAAGAAGGATATGAAGATCCTTGAATGTGTCCAGAGGAGGGCAACAAAGCTGGTGAAAGGGCTGGAAGGCATGTCCTGTGAGGAGAGGCTAAGGACTCTGGGTTTGTGTAGTTTGGAGAAAAGGAGGCTGAGGGGCGACCTCATTGCTCTCCACAGCTTCCTGAGGAGATGAAGTGGAAAGGGAGGTGCTGATCTCTTCTCTCTGAGATCCAGTGACAGGACGTGTGGGAATTATTCAAAGATGCACCTTTGAACAGGCTTGGACCGGACATTAGGAAGCATTTCTTTACCAAGAGGGTGGTCAAACACTGGAACAGGCTTCCTAGAGAGGTGGTCGATGCCCCGACGCTGCCAGTGTTCAGATGACATCTGGACAATGCCCTTAATAACATGCTTTAGTTTAGTTAGCCCTGAGGTGGTCAGGCAGTTGGACTAGATGATTGTTGTAGGTCCCTTCCAACTGAAATATTCTATTCCGTTCATTAAGCAACTAAAACCAAAAAGATGGGAAGTTTGACTGACATTGTACATTTTTACATTTACAGTTTTAGCTTATCTTTTTTGCAAGATACTGACTAGTATCAATTAACTCTTCCTTAAAATCATTCTTAAAGCCTTAAACCATTCAGAGGCTAAGCAGACGTTCTTCAATGAGATGCGTGTGAATTAAGTGCTGGGCTGGTATAGAGTGCTGTCCGTGTATTTCTATGCAGTTTTATGGCCAAACTCGGGAATTAATATATTCGTCAGCAAACTGTTATAAAAATATGTTTGACTTAATGTTATAAAAGCTAAATTTGAGGTCACTTGTTGGTGCTTTGACCTTCTGAAAAGAAAGATAGTTAAACATGTAGGAATTTTTACCAAGGCTGAATTACATTTTAGAGAGTTATTTTGTTAACTATAATAATAATAATTCAGATACTTAGGAGAAAAAAAAACACCAACTCTGTTTTTGTGAACTTCTTATTCTAGGTATTTCAGCCGCGGCCTGGTGATCATGAAAAGTATGGAGGTGACCCTGAGCAGCCCCACAAAATCCACATTGTTACTAGAATAAAATGTGTAGTTGGTCGCCCGTATTGGGAAAAGAAGATAGTACATGATCTTGGACTGGATAAAGTATGATTGTTGTTCTTTATACTTACTGTTTATTCCAGAAATGTAGAAACATAAGGTAGAATTAAGATGGTGGGGTTTTTTTTCAAAGACCTTAATTTTGCAGTCACAAAACTTGGATTGCTTTACAGCTGCTATAAATGAAATTGAGAAATCGTTAATGTGTTTAAGAGCTGAGAGGAAGATTAGTGGCAAATGCGCTTTTAGTGGGAATTCAGAATATCACTGTATGGTATTGCACTGTATGGCATTGCTCTGCATGCCTGAGGAGATCTTTATCTTGAGAATTCTGCTAAAATAATAAAAATAGATTTGTAAATACTTTGAATTCAGTTTTCTCTGTGGGTCGTACTATTCAGATATTGCAGGTAGGCAAATAAGACTCATTTATTAATGAAAAGACTTCCAAATCCAAGACTCTAAGAGTTTGTGTCAAAAATGTGTTTATCCAAAGTTTTTAGTCCAGCTGCACGTTGTGCAAAGATTCATCTAGTGAGTGTTATATTACAGAGAAAAAAATGCATGCTTGATAAATTCAAGATCTAACTGAAGCAACAAGTCTTACCCCTAAACTCCTGTATTTCTAACAATTGGAAGAAATTTTAATATCTTGATAATGTAACGGGAATAATGCTGAACTTGTAATTTTATGGGAATCAAATTTGATCAGGCTTTGATTTCATGTTTTTTTGTATGTTCTCGATGCATGACATTTCTCTAAATCTTGTACTTGCAAATGTGGTTTATGTTTTGACTGATATTGTGAAAAGTTCAGTGAATTGAGATTTGCATTTTGGCAATGCATTTGTAAAACCTCTTCTGTCCTTTACATAGGCACATCAGCCGAGACTGCACAAAAATATCCCTTCCGTGAATTCCAAACTGAAAGTTATTAAACATCTGATAAGGTTTGTTAACTCTTTGTTTAATTCAGAACGCTTAATCTAACTCTTGTAGTCATAGGACTTCACTAAGCAAACTCTTTTTGCCTGTAGAATACAGCCACTGAAACTACCTTACGGATTGCCAACAGAAGAGGAAATGTCAGACACCTTTCTTACAAGCAAGGGAGAGCTTGTCATTAGGCGGCGTCTGAAACCTGTGGAGCAGAAAGAAATTAAGTCATGAGGGGTGCTGGTTGGATGTACATTTTATAAAATAAATGATTTAACTCCTGAGCTAAGAGTTTGTGTATGAAATGTGAGCTGCTTACTGTGTGTGTGACAGACGTGATCCTGATGCTTAAAGAAACATTACATGTGTACAAATATAAAATTCAATATTGCTAATGTTTGCCTCAAATACTAAATGAACGAGAGGCTTTCTTTCCTTGTATTTTAACTTTGTGGTAGATTACCGCAGTTTATGACTAGTTATTGGAAAACTTTATTTATGAAGTCGGATAAGCAGAGAGGTGAGTAGAATAGATCTAACTAATGATGAGGAGGACATTTCCAAGCTAACAGTAAAGATTTACAATGATGGTGCATGACTTCACTTTCACTGCTTAAAGGAAGGTATTAGAATTGAAAAGCTCTTGTTTACCAGTTACCTGAGAATCGACTAGCTGTCCACTGAGAGTTTCATTTGATTGAGGCAGGTGTTTGGGTGACTTACCTTGGTCATCCAGGTCTCACACTTGTTCCTTAGCAAACAGTCTGACATGTGGCCTCCTGTGTAGCTTGAAAAGTACCTGAACTCCCCATTTGGGAGTAGCACAAGGAGTGATTCACGTTTTAGTAGGTTGTATTATTTATGCTCCAGGAAACATTCTATCTCACTTCATATGTATTTCTTGATCCTGAATGTTTAATATTAGTAGCCTAAGAGCTGAAGTCTGTGTAGAAGTTGATGCTTTTCCTGTTCTAAAATTGCACACTTTAGAAATCTGGAGACCCTGAAGCATTCCTCTTTGATGCAAGTTAGTAATTGTGGGCTGCAAGCTTATAAAATAACACCTTTTACTGAAGGATCTTAAACAGTACTGTGTGCATATTTTTATTTCCTTTATTTACTTTTTATAATATATTTACTATATTTAAATATATAAATTTATATATAGTCTTATATATTTATACTATATTTACTTTATATACTTTTTATTTACTTTTGTGGCCAAAGTTAGGAAGCTGCTGGTTTATCAAATAAAAAAGTAGTTTTCATTCCCGTGAGCATAAATTCCATAATTTACCACACTGTGAGCCTCTCCCACACTAGACATGCTCTAGAGGAGTTAATCTTAATGACTTTATGTTGTGAGAAGATCAGAGGGTTGCAGTGGCTGAAAATGAATGTTTATCATTTTTGCATGCTTGCAGAGAGAACACCAGTAGGAGTTCAAAGGAATAGACGTATCAGTAGAGGGACAGAAAAGCTGGAGACACTGTGTGCAGGAGAAAGAAAAAGAAGGATAGGCTATGGCAGTGGCGTTGAAGAGTGTAATGGCTCCTACAGACAGGCTGAAGGCAGAAATGTGAAACTGAGCTGAAAAAACTCAATTTCTCAACAAACTACAGGCTGTAGTTGGAAGGACACAGAAAATACTGGTGTCAGTCTAAAGTACATAGAATAGCAAGGAAGAAGTGAAACAGATGAATGAATGTTGCTTTTCTTCCCTCCTTCCTTCCTTCCAGTATCTGCATAGCATCATGTACTGCAGTGTGTTATAACTGCAGTCTCTGTGTGGTGTTGACTGTGTTCCCACAGGGACGTACTTAGTAAAGCTGAATTTTCAGCCCTTTTGAAGGGCTTGTGTAGTGCATCCAAGGTACAGGGCTTGCTTGAAAGAGATGCTGTCACGATAAAATACAATGCTGGGTCTATAGAGGACAGAGAAGGGGACTACCTGGAGCCCTTTTCAATTAGACCAGCCTGCCCGTTTCCCAAGAAAAACGAGACCCTTGTATCTGGCCTGCTTGCTACACCCTGTTTAAGGAGAAGGGAGATTATCTCGAACCCTTTGCAATTTGACCAGCCTATCAGGCTTAATGCTGACAGCGTCACTGGGATAAATCCCTCTGGACAGCCTACAAGGTCGGAGGGTGGTTGCCTAATCTATTCAGGGACTGTCACGATCGGTGACACTGGGACAAATCCAGTGATTCCAGTTATTGAAGTTTCTGGAAACTCATAGATAAACTGATTTTGTTATATATGTTTGTTACAGGAATCAGGTTCAAGGATAGCCAGTGATAAGATACTGTCTGCGCAACCAGATTTGGAACAACATGCAAACAGAACTGATCAGTGATGTTTTTAAATAGCCAGCAAGATGTTAGTGACTAAGTGCACGTAACACAGAGCTCTTACCCTATAGGTGTCCCTATGCAGGGGAGAAGAGAGGTGCAGCCTGTCGATTGATCCTAGACGTTCCAATGGAGGTCTTCCCCCAACATCCCCTTCTCTTAAGTCATTTTTATACTGTTTTTTACTTTCAGGTGGAGCTTGAGTGACTCTAGTCATATATGTCTTTGTTAGGATTGGTGTAAATTTTCCTCACTTTGGTTTTAAGGTATAGACTAGAAGAGTTTCAGAGTGCATGCTCGGTGAGAGGTGGTTGCAGCCTGGAGGTGGGTAGCTTTTGAGATGGAGGTGTGTTTTGGTATTATAATGACATTATAGTGAGCAAAGTTCAGCTTCAGGACACGATTTCACCATCACTGCTGAGGCAGCAGTTGCGATCTGTCTTCCTTGATGGTAGCTATGTGGTTTTCTTTACCAGAGATATCTTTATCTTTTTATGAGCCATGGTACCTCTGTACCACTCTACTCCCCATTCCAAGGATATTGTACAGGCCTTGTTGGTTCCAACTGCATTCTGTTCCTGGGAGCAGCAACTGTGTCTCACCTCAAAACTGCTTGAATATTACAGCTTATGTTAAAACATAAGCTGAACCTTGGGGAGCAGTGTTCTTCCATTCCCCCCCAGTTTCTGTTATTTTTCCACAGATGGCACAAGTACTAGGGCCCAGAAAATTAGGCAAATGGGTCTTGTTGCTGAGGGATAGCAAATTTAAGTCTTGTACCAGACTTAGTGGCCCAGAGCACCAAAGCCAGAATCGCTCAGCCTTACAAAGCACGTTCAGGTTTTGTGTCCGTGGCACTGCAGCCTGGTGAGGGAGCCTCCAACAGAGGGAGCGCTGGCAGTTCTGTCATACGCCGTATGTGTATGAGTATGGATCTTCTATTCGTTACACTGTACAGATGCTACAGCCTTCTAAAGTACTGCAATGTAAGTAAGCAGGAAAGAATCTGTTAATGAACAAGCTTGTGTGATACTGTGCACAACTTTAAAAGTGTGTGATAAACTACCTAAGTTAGAGCAGAGCTAACATCTGCTTCCCAAGTACAGAGAAGGGAAAAGGCTTTAGATAGTACCTGTTATTTCTGAGTAAGATTTAGCTACGAGAGATGTTTACAGCTGTCTTTAGTTGATAAGATGTCAGTTTTAAAGAAAAAGGAAATTGTATTTTCCTAAATTTCTTTTTTTTGTATGTGTAAGTTTGAGTGTTTCTGAAATAGTATTTCCTCCAAGGTCACAACTGTTGTACAGTCAATCTGCTGTCCCAAACCTTCTCTACATAAGCATACGTTCTCTAAAGATTTGCCCCGAAGTCTAAAACCTGAACCAACAGGGTACACACATCCACACAACAGTGTGTGTCCACACACATCCTTTCATTAATGGAGCATTGTAAATGCTTCATGTGAATCTCCATGAAGCACAGCTAAGAGACGCTGCCTTTTTGGGCAGGGAACAAACAGACTGGCTTAAGATGATGGCAAAATTCAGGTTGGAAGGTACCTACAGGTCTCTAGTCCAGCCTCCTGCTCAACGCAGAGCCGGCGCTGAGGTCAGACCAGGTTGCTCAGGACTTTGTCTAACCAGGTCTTGAAACCCTCTGAGGACAGAGACAGCTCAGCCTTTTTGGGGAGCCCGCTCTGATGTCTGGATGTCCTCATGGGGAAAGGTTATGTGCAGAATACAGTCTTGTATCCAGTCTGAACTTCTCTTCTTTCAGCTTATGCCTGTTGTCACTTCTCTTCCCACATTACGTTACCAGGAGGAGCCAGCCTGGCTCCATCTGCTCAATTATCCCTCCCAGGTAAGTACTGTGGGGCTGCTCTTAGATTCACCTGAAGCGCTCCCTTCTCACAGGGCAAGTGCTCCAGCCCCAACTGCCTTGATGGCTCTCTGCTGACCTTGTTCTGCTTAACTGGTCCTTCCTGTGTCAGAGGGCCCCAAACTGGACGCCACTCTAGATATGGTCTAACAAGTGCTTAGTAGAGGTGTGTAATCCCTTCCCTTGGTCAAGCTGTGCTTCTGTTCCTCCAGCCCAGGGTACCCATAGAGGCCTTTGCTGCTTGGGCACACAGCTGGTTCATGTCGAGCTTGCTTCTTGGGTAGGAACCATTTGCCATGTCTACCTGCTTTAGCATTTAAAGTATATTCAAACAAATCTTTGGTGCAATATGTGATAGCAATGTAGAAATGTACTGTTTAAGGAATAAATTTCTATTTCTGTGCTATTGCTCTGTTGCAGGTTCACTTACTGTTTCAGATTTGGTAATTAATACTGTGGTGTATGTAGATCAATACAATTTTAATAATAGCATCAGGATACTTTTAATCACAGGTAAAAAATACTAGCTATAACAATGCACCATATTTAAAACAAACCTACAACCCTCCCATGCTCTTTGCTATTTCTCCTTTAGCGCCTAGTGATAATGCTTGAGGATTTTTTTTCACCACTCTAAACCACTTGCTTTTCTCCCCTGTGTCTTGAAACAGCTGAATGAACCCAACAACTCTGAAGCTAAGGCTTCCCAAAAACTTTACGGTATGATTGATTAAAAGAATCTGTTTATTGTGCGTGACCTTGCATCAGATTTTGTAAATTACATGCCATTTTAAAAACATGATGCAATATGCATATTCTTACTGCATTGAATGACTCGCATTGAAGCTTAATGTATAGCTTCAATAAAAGTATTCATTACAGCAGCTTGAGTTTTACAGATTATTTGCTACTGTAAAGGCTAAAATGAAGTAGTATCAAGGGCAAAAAAAGTTAAGGATAGCTTAATATTTTCCCTCCTATCACAAGAAACAACCACTTTGGGGTGACACCGAAGTTGAGAGCAATTATTCTGAAAGGATATGATACACTGTGATATACTCTTCTGGTAGATTAAACATATACGGTATTTATTGCAAATATTCAATTCCAAAATTGCAAATTGTTAAAAACCAATTTTGTACTGCTGTTAGACACATATATTCCTTCCCTATTCCTTCCCTAGTACGGCCCTCAGACTATTACCCCCTTTTGTTGTTTCAGGTAGGCAGTGATGAATTAGGAACAACCACTCCAAGGACAAAGAAGGACTTCAGAGCCTTGGGGCGCCTGGTCAAGGGATCAGGAGCACAGGTCATGTTCTCCTCTATCCCTCCAGCTGTGGGCAAAGATGAGGGATTAGGCAGGAAGTACCAGCAGATTAATACCTGGCTCCGAGCCTGGTGTGTCGGCAGGGGTTTGGGTTTTTTGACAGCAGCTGGATCTACAAGAGGCCAGGTCTGTTAGAAATGCATGGTAATAGCCTGTCCCACAGAGGAGAAGAGTTTTGAGAAGGGAGTTGACAGGGCTCATAGACAGAGCTTTAAACAGTATGAAAGGTGGTGGGGGTGAAATCAGGATCACTGGAAGGGAGCCGGAATGCAGTATGCCAGTGCTTGTGGGGGAGGAATGCATTAGCAAGATCGTGCAGTCTTGTGAATTAGAAAGGGATCAAGGTGTCATGCCAGGTTGTGGACAGAGCACAGGGGTTGTTGAGGGGTTGGTTACTGTGGAAACATTTGAGCATCTTCAGGGGGCTCCAGGTGCCTCATCAGGGACCCAACTCAAATGCCTCTATATGAATGCCTGCAGCTTGGGCAATAAACAAGAGGAGCTGGAGACGCTTGTGACCCTGCAGCGCTATGACCTGATCAGCATCACAGAGACATGGTGGAATGACTCCTGCAATTGGTGTGTTGGACTAGAGAGGTATAAGCTGTTCAGGAAGGACAGGCAGGGGAGATGAGGAGGAGGTGTTGCCCTCTATGTCAATGAATGGCTAGAATGCATGGAGCTCCACCTGGCAAGTGATGATGATAGAACCGAGTGCCTGTGGGCCAGGGTGAAAGGAAGGATAGGAGACTTTACAGTGGGGTGTGCTACAGACCACCCAATCAGGAGGACCAAGTGGATGAGGTCCTACATAGGCAGATAGGAGTTGCTGCTCGTTCACAAGCCCTGGTCCTCATGAGAGATTTTAACCACCCCGACATGAGTTGGTAAAACAACACGGCGCGGAACTAGCAATCCAGGGGATTCCTGGAATGCATTAACGATAGCTCCCTTATCCAAGTGATAGAGGAACCAACGAGGAGAGATGCCATGTCAGACCTTGTTCTCGTCAATAAGGAAGGGCTGGTAGGTAATGTTGAACTCGTGGGTAGCCTTGGCTGCAGTGACCATGAGATGGTGGAGTTTGAGATCCTAAGGGCAGCTAAGAGGGGGAAGCTCAGCAAGCTTGAAACTCTTGATTTCAGAAGAGCTGACTTTCGCCACTTCAGGAACCTCCTTTGTAGTGTGCCATGGGATAAAGCCCTGGAGG